CCCACCCGCTACCGCTGCTGCATCCATGCTTTGGGGTCCCTCTTGCAGGGCGAGTGGGTCCCTGGTGTGACTGAGTTGCATCTCTGCCTCGTAGTACCACATGTAGGAGGGCAACAGATGTGGTTTTGCAGGTCTCTGCCCCCTCAGTCTTCCCTGCCTAACTGCCAGCACCCCAAAAAACTCCAGGCCTTCTCCACTCCCCCAAGCCAAGGGCATTCTGTGTACACATCCCCCTTCTTGGCTCTGAGGGGCAGAAAAGGCTGGCACTGAGGCTCTGCCCTTAGCTACAAAGCTGTGCCCTCTCCCACCATCACCACATTGCATCCCTGTGCCACTTTCCTGGAGAGTGGGGGTCCCCAAGCAGCTGGTGACAAGCAAACCCAATTGAAGCCCCCTTGGATGCTGTGCTGACTGGCCTGCCTGCCTGTCTTTCTGTCTGTCTGTCTGTCCGTCGCAGGCTGCCTGTTTGACCGGAGGTTGTGCTCCCCTCAGGAGGTGTGTGTGCAGGGTAAGTGTCTATCAGGGGTGCAGGGATTCCCTTCCCAAGGAAGGGATGCAATGCAGGGGAATATGGCAGAAGAAAGGTAGGGCTGTGCCTGAAGACCCTCAACCTCACCCCAGCGTGTTTGTTGTCTGGCCATGCTGCCTCCCCTCTCTTGCAGATGGGCTGTTTGGGCAGTGCCAGGTGGGCTCCGTGCAGGACAGACCCTACTTCCAGATCACCTCTCCTGTGCTCCAGCGCCTGCAGGATGTCTTACGGCATCTCATGGCACAAGGTGAAGGGGGGAGCTTGGGGGGAGTCTCTGAGGCCATGCAGGGCAAGGGCGTCAGGCAGCATTGCCTGGTGGCACTAGGGCTGTCCAAGGTCCTGCTGGCCCGGGGACCAGAGTGCGCTAAGGAGGGTGATCCTGGGAGGAGTGGGACCAAACCCAGGCCATAAGACCCAGGGTCAGGACATCAGGACAACCTCCCGTGCACTCACACCGTGGTTCTCAGGCTGCCCCCACATCTCACAGCCCTCTCCCATGGCAGGGCTCTCGTGGCAGGACAGCATCACGCAGTATGTGATTTCACAGGAGATGGAGCGCATCCCCCGCCTCCGCCTGCCGCCCTCGCTGGAGCCAGTGGCCAGGGACAGGTAGGGCAATGCCAACTGCCAGCCTGTGAGGAGAGCCCAGCAGAGCAGTGAGGGCTTTGCTCCCCTAATGGGGTTTAGGGGAGGGAATTCTCCCTTACCCAGGTGAGTCACCCCAGCGCTGTTTGCCTTCAAGGTTCCTGCCCCTCCGTGTTGAGCCCCGGCGAGCCCCGCTTCCCCTAGACCGTGGCCTGCCAGCAGCTCAGCATCTGGGGCAGCCCCCACCACTATTACCTTCCCCACTGGTGCAAAGGTACCTGGAGCACCTCCTGCTGCCCTCCCCATCCCAGCTGGGCTATGAGGAGGCTCTACTCAACCCCTACTCCTACCACAAGGTAAGCTGGGGGTTGAGCCCTCTTCTCTCAAGCAGAAAGGTAGAGATTTGCAGGGGGCCTCTGCACTCCCAGCATCCTCCTGCTGGGGTACCCCCTACTTCCACCATGGGGTGACAGGAGCCCTGTGGATTTTGACCATGTGTTTTGGTTGCAGTTTGGCTACCAGGATGGTGCTCACCAGCATCCCAGCGGCTCAGCCAGGCAGAGCTCTGAAACCTCCTCGCTACTGGGCCGGGTTCCTGCCCAGGCCCTTTTTGGGGCTGGCCCTGTGCCCTCCTATGGTGCACAGCCAGGAATGGATGGAGGGCATCTCTTCCAGGACTTGGGCATGCTTTCCCTGCCCAGAGAGAAAGCCAGCCGCCCAGACCCTGCCAGCACCAGGCTCCAGCACAGCTTGCGACTCCCCAGTGACTACAGAAGCACGGAGGAGAGGGAGCAGCCAGCACCCTTGGCTGCCCAGCCACCCTCTACACAGACAGGTACCTTGTTCTCCAGCCAGGCACCAACCCTTGTCTCTACCCTGTACTAACATCCATGTTCCTCATGTCTCACACTCTCCCTCCTCTTTGGCTTTATGCCCAGGGGCAGCATATTCCCCCAACCCCACTTGCCTCATTTACTACATCCTTAGCCCCTGGTCTCCATGCAGATGCAGGGCATCCAACCTTATGCTGTATCCTCTTGCAGATGCTGCCCTAAAGAGACTGGCCTCCCTCCTGGCCAGCTATGGCCTCGGGCTGCCAGAGCTGAGCCCCCAGCAACTGAGCAGCCTCTCCAGCCTCCTCCAACTGCTCCAGAGCTCTGGTGAGCTGGGTGAAGGGATGGGGTGGGCAGGTACTGGCCATGGTGGGTGCCAGCATGCCCTGTTTCAGAATAGGGCATGTTGCCTTTTTGGGGTGGATGCTGCAAGATTTGTCTCTCTCCTTTCCAGGTGTTGTTGGCCCTGAAGTGCCCACAGTCAAACGGGTGGGTTTGCAGCAGGGTGGTGCTGGAGGAGATGCCACAGCACAGGTGGGATGGGGTGGAGGAGGCAGTCCCCCAGGGCTCTCCTCAGAGGTCCCAGTTTCTCCCTTTCCCTCCCTTCAGGTGACGGAGGGGGACATGCAGCACGGAGAGGAGCCAGTGCCCCCTTCCTCCACAATGCCACCCCCTAAAATCCCAGCCAGCAGCTCCCCAGGGGATGGGCCAAAGGGCAGAGTGGCATCCTCGTCAGCTCCCCAGGCCGAGCCACAGGGGGCACATGGTGGAGATGCAGTCAGCCCCAGGCAGCAGATTCTGGTGGAGAAGAAGAGTTACACGGAGACAAAGGATGGTGGGGCACAGCGGCACATGCATCCACCAGACGAGTATGGCTACATCATCACAGACCAGAAGTGAGAGCAGGGGGTCAGGCTGAGGGGGTCTGTGTGTGTGGAGGGTCTGTGTCTCCCCACCTACAGCTGTCACAGCTCCGCATGTTTGGCCAAGCCTGTTTGGGATGGGGTTGGTCAGCTTCTCCCTGTCCCCTCTCTATCCACACCCTTGTCCCACCCCAAAGCCTTCCTTTCTCAGCCCACACCAAGGCTAGAGCTTGCTGTTGCGGAATGGGAGGCTGGGAGTGTGTGTGCAAGGATGAGGGGGTCAGCTCACTCCCACCACCACACATCCCCGTGCTCTTACCAACTGCCCATCCTGACACCCCTGCAGCTAGCACTGCTCTCACTGCATGCTTGGAACTCCCTGAGCCTGCCCATCCCTGTGCCCTGACTGTGGGGAGCGTGGACTGTCCCCTTGCCCTCGCTACCTGCTCCTCACCCTGACCCTGTTCCCTCAGGCCCCTGGGGCTGGCTGCTGGTGTGCGGCTGCTGGAGCTCCTTGCCAAGCACCTCCACCTCTCCACCACCAGCTTCATCAACATCAGGTGAGAGGAGCAGGGCCATGGGTGCTGCTGTCTCAGCCTTGGCTGTGCTCAGCCCTCTCGGGCAGGAGTCCAGGAGGGACTGGTCTGTGGTGGGGATAGGAAGGGGGTCTGCACTTCCCAGTCTCACACTGTGTCCCCCTTCTCCCTGCAGCGTTGTGGGTCCTGCACTTACCTTCCGCATCCGGCAGAACCCTCAGAACTTCTCCCTGACAGATGTGGCCAGCCAGACTGGTGAGTTGAGCACCTAGTCCTGTTCCTCTCTTCCCCCTGCAATGTGGGGTGCCCCTTCCCAGGGACTGGAAAGAGGGGAACTCCCACCATACATCCCAATGTCTTTGGCTGAATGGGGGAGCTGATATGAGGTAAAGAGCTGCTGGGGCTATCCCTTGGCTCTATCTTTGTTGCGGGTGGGTCTCTTGTGTGGAAAGGCAAGCATCCCTCTGACCATCTCCTCTCCATCCACAGAGCAAGTGAAGACAGAGCTGGAGCATGAGCTGGGCCTGAAGATTGTGCAAACAGGAGTGGGAGAGGTAGGAGGGAGCAAGCATGCCTGTCCCTTGGGGCTAGGGTGGCCAGGGACAGGGCAGTGGGAGTGCTGCCACTGAGTATGAGCAGGAAGCATGCTGTTGCCCACCCCTTGGTCACAGGGGTCTTCATGACTGAGACATCCCTGTGGGTCTGTGGGGCAGTTTAGGAACAGAGGGCTCTGGGCAGTGTTTGGGATGCTGTGTTGGGGGCAGACTCAGGTTATCTGGGATGGCCCAGAGCAGAACTGCTCCAGTCCCATCCATCCATCATTCCCCCTGATGCCCAGCAGCACGATGTTGCTCTGTTGCTTGTACTCCCAGGGCTCTCGGCTCTTTGCAAAACAAAATCTCCATAAGGTTTCAAGATGATTTGCGAGGGACTCCCAGGGGCTTTTCTACCCCTCCAAGACTGGGGGGCTGTGGGCTGTACCCCACAGGGCTCATCCTCACCCTTGCCTCCCTCCAGCCTGCACCCCCCATCTTCGCTGCAGCCTGGGCATTCGAGCACTGGGCTGTTTCCAAAGCACCCCAGAGATCACAGCTAGGCAGGCAAAATGCCATCATGTCCCCAGAGAATGGCAAAGCAGCTGACGACAAGGATGGAACAGGAACCATCTGTTTGGAGAGGGATACCCCCTCCCCTTGCTCCTCTAGGGATCCACAGGAAGAGTCTCCTGGGAGGGGAGCAGGGGTTGGAGATGGGGACGAAACCTGGCTTCTGTGTTTGCAGCCTGAGGAGGGGAAGTGGTGTAGCACATTCCCAACCCGGGATCCCCATTTCCCACCCTCTTGCCCTGTGACCATATCTGTGGGCAAGGAGGAAGGAAGGGGGAACTTTGGAGGAGGAGGCCATGGAGAAGGAGTGGCCTGGCCACCTGTCTCCATCAGTAATGTGTGGAGTGTCGCTATGGCAATGCCTTTTGATGTGGCAAGTGGCAGAAACTGGGAGAGATGTCAGCGATGACAGAGATGGAGCTCAGAGGAGGCTGTGGCAGCTTTGCAAGCCCTCTTCTGCATCAGCCTCTCCAGTCCTCACCAGCTTGTGCTTTTCCTTCATTCCCTGCTGGCTCTGAATTTGATGGGACTGGTGCATGATTTGGGGAAGGAGCGATGTAGAGAGTCAGGGAGACAGCAGGGCCTGGGCAGCCTTGGGAGGGAAGTGCCTTCTGTCCCCCCTGGCTCTGCTGATACCTCCAGGGGCTACAGAGCTGTTCCTGCTTGGGTGCCTAGGAGAGCTGGGAGGTGCTGGCCCTGGTGGGTTCCCTGACTGCAGGACTGGCTGGACCCTGACGGGGGGCTGATGCAGCTGGGGGGCAAGTGGCAGCGGGAACACCTAGGCTGGGGACATCCCCAGGCGATGATGATGATGACGTAGATGATGATGGTGCAGTGTTCCCTCGGTAACCTCATCAGGCTCATAGCCAATGGGAGGCTGTGGCAATGAGGTAATGCTGGGCTCTGGCACCTCATTGGGCATAGGGTATTTGAAGTGCTGATGCCTCAGCATCCCTGTGCTGCCCCACCAACATCCTGATCACAAGACGCTCTGGGGCAAGGACCTGGGCATTGGCAGGAAGGTCTTGTCCAGCAAGGGCTGAGCAGCATCCTGTTCCAGCATGGCTTAGGGTGTCTCCCCCAGCCACACGAAAGGAGCCCTAGAGACACTACCTGCAAGGTGGCAGGGGCTGCTCTGTGTCCTAGCTGAGGAGGGCAATGGGCAGGACCTGTCCCCCAGCCACTACAGCTGGGATGGCACCAGCCCTCTGGCAGTGCTGGACATCTGGCCCCCCTGACTTCCCCCAATGTTCTGTTCTGGAGCAGTGACTGCAGAGGAGAGCAAGCCTCATTTGGGGAAGTCCCCTGAGAGCAGCACATCCAGCGCTGCAGTGGCCCATCCTTCACCATTAACCTCTTGGGCTGAATTCAGCCCTTTTTGACCTCCAGCTGGGCAGAAAGAGCGCATTGAACCAAAGTTCTGTGGGGCTACTGCCTGGTCTGAAAGGGAACAGCTCAGGCCAGGGCTGCCTTGGGCAGCACCCATGGGTGCTGGGAGCACAGAGGCAGGAAGTCGCTGCTGCCTGGGCTTGGCCAGGCTCCTGCAGCCCCAGGGACACCACTGTGAGCAGTGCCCCATGTGACATGCAGGTGGGTGCACCCTGCCTCACCCCAATGACACCATCTTTGTCCCAGCTCTGGGTGCTGAGAGAATCAGCACCCTCAGGTAGAGGAAGAAAGAGCCCTTGTCCTGTTTGAACCCCCAGCAACCCCAAATGTAGAGCAGAATAGGGTCTCAGCCTGATGCAGATGTCCCCCACTAACCCTTGCTTGGCTCTGCCCCCAGCGAAACGAGGCTGCTGCCTATTCGCGCCCATCCCACTTCAGGGATGGCTTCCACTCGGTGCTGCTGACCTTCATAGCGCTGGCCTGCGTGGCGGGCATTGCCATCGCAGTTTCTGCAGCCTTCTGCCTCCGGCGCCATGCCAAGCAGCGGGAGAAGGAGCGCCTGGCCGCCCTGGGGCCAGAGGGTGCTGCTGACACCACCTTCGAGTACCAGGTAGGACCCTGTGGGATGCAGGATCCTGCAGGATGTGTCACTGCTGTGTCAGCATCGCTTGGGGTGCATGGGGCTGTCCTATGGCAGCACTGTGGCCAAGGGACTGGGCTATTGCTGGTGTTCCCCAGGAGCTGTGCCGCCAGCACATGGCTGCCAAGTCTCTCTTTGGCCGCACTGAGACAGCAGCAGCACCAGCAGAGACCTCGAGGGTCAGCAGCATCTCATCCCAGTTCAGCGACGCCCCACAGCCCAGCCCCAGCTCTCACAGCAGCACACCCTCCTGGTGCGAGGAGCCCGTCCAGTCCAACATGGACATCTCCACTGGACACATGATCCTGGTGAGCCAGCCTGGCAGGGTGGCAGCACCCCTGCCCAGCACCCTTCCTCCCCCCTGCTGCTGGGCTGACCCCTGCCCCTCTACCCCAGGCCTATATGGAGGACCACCTCCGCAACCGGGACCGGCTGGCCAAGGAGTGGCAGGCGCTCTGCGCCTACCAAGCTGAGCCCAGCATCTGCTCCATTGCCCAGAGCGAAGCCAACCTGAAGAAGAACCGCAACCCTGACTATGTGCCATGTGAGCATCCCAGCCACCCTGCCCCAGGGACCAGCTCCTGCCAAAGCCATGGCTGGAGCAGGGTGTGGGGCATGGGGATGCTTTGGGGCCACAGCTGGTTGCAGTATTGGTTTGCCCCCAGCTACCCTAGACACTCACAACTTTTCCTGGCCTGTGTTTCCCCAGATGATCACGTGAGGATCAAACTGAAAGCCGAGAGCAACCCCTCCCGCAGTGACTTCATCAACGCCAGCCCAATTGTGAGTGATCACCAGGGGCTCCTGCCCTGCCACCCTACTCTGTGATGTGCCCAGCTCGGGCAAGGCTCTCACTCTGGGATAGAGATAGACTGAGCTCACATTCCTGAAGGCTGTGGATGTGAGCCTTGTGCCTGCCCCATTGCTCAGACATAGTTCAATCTCATTTTCCTCCTGGCTGTGGCACCTGAATCTCCCTCTCCAGCCCTCCCATCACCCCTGGAGTATCCCCCCACTCCTCTCAGTGTCACCAACCCCTGGCCAAAGAGCATGCAGTCTGACACCCCCTATTCTGCTCCAGATCGAGCATGACCCACGGATGCCAGCGTACATTGCCACACAGGGGCCACTGTCCCACACTATTGCTGACTTCTGGCAGGTGAGTGTCACCTGCCTGTGCCAGCCCATTGGGGCCCCTTTGTGTGCTGCCCACAAGATGGGTCACAGTGGCTTGACTGCCCTCCTGTCTGTCCTGCTGCCCGGCGGTGACAACCCCCTTGCCTTGCCTGCAGATGGTGTGGGAACATGGCTGCACTGTCATTGTCATGCTGAGCCCTCTGGCTGAGGACAGTGTCAAGCAGTGTGACCGCTACTGGCCAGATGAAGGTTCCTCTCTCTACCACATCTACGAGGCAAGTGTGGCGAGTAGCCTTGGGCAAGGAGCATCCTCCAGCCCCTGCCCCCCTGAGCGCAGCGCCCTTGCCGGCACTGGCGCCCACGAGCTGCCTCTCTTGGGCAGGTGAACCTGGTGTCAGAGCACATCTGGTGCGAGGATTTCCTGGTGCGCAGCTTCTACCTGAAGAACGTGCAGTCGCAGGAGACCCGCACCCTGACGCAATTCCACTTCCTGAGCTGGCCAGCCGAGGGCATCCCCACCACCACCCGGCCCCTCCTCGACTTCCGCAGGTGAGTGCCCACCCGGCACCGTGCCAGCCCACGGGGAGCCAGCGGTGGTCCCAGATGCAGGTGACTGATGGGCGAGGAAATTGCTGCCAATGTGATGAGAGTTAGGGCCGTGGCATGGACTGGGTGCAGGGACGCCGTGCATGGGAGAGAGCAGAAGATCCACGTTCTGGCCAGCTTGGGATGAGGCTCAACAGAGCTTGGTGGGCAAGAAACCTCCAGCTGAGGTTGCCAGAGCTCTCCAGCCTTCATGGGGATGGTGGGAAAGTGCTCTTCTCTAGAGCTAGCATGGGAGACAGTGCTGCCTGGTACCCTCCCCACCCATGGGTGCACAAGAAGCCCCTAGACCCAGCCTTAAACAGCTGTGACCCATTGCTCCCAATGCATTGCAACCAGTGGTGGGTCCCCAGGTAGCCCAGGGCAAGGACTTCAAAGCTGGGACTGCTCCCAGGAGGTCAGCACCTGCTCAGGTCTTTAGGTCCCTGGGTGGCAGTGGGCTCTTGCCAGGGGCAGGCTGCTTACTGTCCCTAGGCTGTGTGGGGCCAGGGACCCAGCTTAGGGCAGCAAGGGTTCTCTGAGCACGTTACCCTCCTCTCAGTCCCGCTCACGCTCTTTCTCTCTGTCTGTCTCTCTCTCGCAGCTGCCGGCGTCATTTTTGTGATTTGCAGCTAGTAATCTGGCTCCAGTTGCATAGTCACAAAAGTGATCGTTGGCAGCCGTGCCTGCTGCATGGAGCACACCGGGAGCCGAGCCGGCACCTGGCCCCAAGCTTCGTGCTCCACCGGACCAGAGTTACTCCCTTGGGGGTTCTGCCACTGCTCCCCTCTCCGGGCTGGGCACCCAAGGAACTGAGCTCCTCTCTCTGTCCCGGCCACTTTCCACACATGGTCCCCATCCCATGTCCAGCACCACTGTGGAGGCAGGAGGAGCCATGAGCTGGACCCCCAGGGCCACATCATGGTGTGCTGCTGCCCTGTCCTCAGCACAGCAAGGGACACCTAGCACAGCCTTGTCGCTGGCACAGCAGGGCACTAACCTGTTCCCTCTTATCCTTGCAGGAAGGTGAATAAGTGCTACCGGGGTCGCTCCTGCCCTATTATTGTGCACTGCAGGTACTGCGGGGGATGGAGGGGCATAGGGGCTGGAGGGTGGCTGCAAAGCTGGGACTCGCTGCCCAGGACCAGTTCCTGGAGCCAGTCCCCCTGGGCCAAGCATCTGTGTCTTGCAGTGACGGTGCAGGCAGGACCGGGACGTATATCCTTGTCGACATGGTCCTGAACCGAATGGCCAAAGGTACGTGCAGGGACCATTTCTGCTCTGTCTGGGGGCTACGGGGCCATGAGCTTGGCCTGTGTCTCCCCTGTTCTAGCACCCCTCTCCCCCTCTTCCCCAGGGGTGAAGGAAATAGACATAGCTGCTACACTGGAGCACATCCGAGACCAGCGGCCTGGCATGGTGCAGACCAAGGTACTCCCCAAACTGGCGATCTCCTCCCTCCATAAGCCCCCTTGGGGCCGGGCTGGCAGGGACCCTCATGCCCCTTGCTGTGCTCCCACAGGACCAATTTGAGTTTGCGCTGACGGCCGTGGCCGAAGAAGTGAATGCCATTCTGAAGGCACTCCCGCAGTGATGGCGAGGAGTTCTCCTCTCATCTGTCTCCGTGCCCCCGCTTCATGCTCTCCTCATTCTGCCTTTGGGGCTGCTCTCCCTGTAAAATGCTGTCTGTGCTTCTGGCTCTGTTCCCCCTGCCCCCAGGCCCCCCTTTCCCTCTCCCCAAGAACACCAACCTCAGGCCCTCTGTGTGCAGGAACCCCATTGCACCTGCTGTCACCAGAGGGGACAGGGTTTGTGTCCCCTATGCCTGCAGAGGAGGGGAGCAGGTGGTGCTGCTGGGAACTGGTGGGAGGGACCCCCCAGCTGGTCTCCTGCACCCCAATCTGTCAGTCCTGTGTTAGCTCTCTCCCTGTACCCACACGAGGGGCAGAAGTGGGCAGGGGTCCCCTACAGCTGAGGGGAGCACAGGGTGCAGGGGAACCTGGCCCAGCCCCAGGTCCCCTTTGTGTGCTCCCTGCCTTGTCACTTGAGCAGAAGAGAAATTTCTAGAGAAATATAATTTTGTATCTTGATGTGAATAAAGTTCTCGTGTCACGTTCGTGCAGCTGCAGCCAGGCCTGGCCTCTGATTGTGTGTACTGGAGGAGCACAGGGAGATCTCATGTCTGTCCATCTCTATCCCTGCATTCCACAACTCCTGGACAAGAACAGCTCACCTGCAGGCAAAGATGGGAGGGACCCCAGCTCAGAGAGACCCCACAGGCAGAAGCTACTGCAAACAGGTTTATTGACAGCTGTCAGTAGAAGGGGGTTAGAGGGGGGGGGCTACAGCAAGGAGGGGGGCAGAGCCCAGTCCTGCTGGCTGAGCCCAGCCATGCTGCCCCTCACTGCCTCCTCCCAGCACCCCCCAGCAGCCTAATCTACAGCAACCCCCATCACCACCCTCCCCACCACCTTGTGGTGCCCAGGGCATCTCCCCTCAGCTCCAGGTATTGCTCAGCCATAAGCCCTGTTGTGCCCCCCAAACTGCGTCCCACGGAGCCAGAGGATGCTGGGGGAAGGGGGTGGCAGGGGATGGCCGTGCAGGGAAAAAGCGGAGTCCTGGCTGGGAGAGCCTCCATGGGCGAGTGGGTGTGTGCAGTCCCCGGGCGCAGCAGCCTCAGAACACACCTGGGGAGACAAGCGGAGGGGGGGACACAACAGCATCTGTGAAATCCTCCTCGGCCCAGGGCTGGGTAGGGGCAGGGATGGAGAAAGGTCCCAGGAAGAGGAGGAAGAAAGCCAAGGCAGAACCACAGACAACAGAGAGGTTGGAAACACTTGTGAGCATCACGGAGAGTCACTGGTGCTGTGGGAAGCAAGGATGAACAAAGCCCTGGAGGGTGTGCAAGGCACAGGGAAGGGGGTGACCAGGCTGGGTTTACAAAGAGACAGGAGGAGGGGATACAGGCAGGAGTGACAGCATCCAGAGGGGAGAGACAAACACGAGGCACCAAGCAGAGGCCGTGTGCGCACCCCTTCTTGCAAGAAGGAGGAGCCCAACCCAGTACTGCCCCCAGCCGGGGCAGGAGCAGGCAGCAGGCAGGGAGGCACCGGCTGGAGATCCTGCTCATCTGCAGGCAGGCAGGGAGAGAGCAGCAGGCAGAGCCAGGGCATGCCTGCCTGCGGGCACACCATGCTTCCAGGAGCCAGGGCAGGGAGTGCCCCTCTTCCTGGGACCCCACCAACAGAGTCCCTCTTTAAGCCACTATCTCCAAGTCTGGAAGCCCCCAACCTAGGGATGCCACCAGCTGCCCACTCACATGAACAAAGATGCAGGGCAGGAGAGACCCCCTCCCTTGCTGGAGTAACCTGGAGCCAAGTTCCAGGCAGTGAGACTCCACCCCCCTTTTCTTCTCCCTACCCCATGGAGAGGGGCACAACCCCAACACCATGATCAGAGCAGGGGGCAGTGCCACAGCTTCACTTTGGGGGCAACTTCATGCCCTGCTGTAGCAGGGCTGCTGGCCCCCAGTGGCTCCTGCTCTGGCCTCCCCCGGGGGCCACGGGCTCTGCGGCTAGAGGATGGGGTGCTGTGGCTGCCCCCCGGTGCCGGCAGGGAGCTGTGCCCACCTGCTTGGTGGTGCCCTGCAGCTTCCATCTCAGAGAGGCTGTAGGCCATGGCCAGCTGCAAGTCCTCATCCTCATCCTCGCTGTCCGTGTAGAGGCAGACGGGTGAGGAGCTGGAGGGCTGGTGTGGGGCCGGTGGTGGGGGCGAGGAGGGCCGTGGCCTGGGGAAGGCTTGCTGCTCCCGCCGGCTCAGCTCCAGCCCCAGTGCCATGTCATCAGGAACGCCTGTGGGGACAGAGCTGGTATGGAGCCCCAGCAATTCCTACCCACCCCACTAATCCTTCACAGCAGAGCTCCAAACCAGGGCTGACCAGGGCTCAGTCCAAAACCAAGCCTGGATGTAGCACCTCCCAGATACCCCAAAGGAGGAGAGGGGTCCCCAAAGGGATAGGGTGCAGACCCCAACAAGTCAGTCTGCAGTGCTGCTTCTCACCATCGATGTGGATTGACTTTAGCTCCCCGTCCTCCTCCACTTCCACCCGCTCCCGTCCGTTCTCAATAATCCTGCAGACAAGACAGACAGATGGATGGACAGTCAAGGGCCACGCAGCCAGAGCACTGCAGTAGGAAGCTGCAGGGTCTGGGGCCCACCAACAGAGACGGGTCTATGAGGGCAAGGTGGGCCAGCACCGCCCTCACCTCTTGGTGGTGATGCGCTTGCCATTAACGAAGGTGGTGGAGGTGGAGACAGAGCGGAAGCCCAGCCCTGCGTCCGCGCCAGAGCTGAAGGATGATGCGAAGAAATCTGGAGAAGGGAGCGACAAGGTCAGTGCCAGGGTGGGGGTCACAAGGAAAGTAGGGGACAGATCTTGGAGAGGGGGACATGATGTTCCAGGACTCCTCTGCTGGGAGGAATGGCAGCATCTCCTACCTGAGGATCCTGGGAAGGCAGAAAAGAAGTGGCCTCCCCCATGGTGCCGGGGTCCAGGTCCTCGCAGCTCAGAGAAGGGAAGCACATCATCTGAAAGGCAGGACCCCCTCAAAAGCATTACCCCTGCAGCATGGTAACCCAGGAGCAGGGCACCGATGTGGTGACCCCCTGCTGGGGCCAGCCTGAGCTCTGTCCCCAGGCCCAGTGGCTGCCCCAGGGTTAGAGAGATGCCCCAGAGTTAGCCCTCCTCGCCCTGCACATACCAAAGAATTCAGCAAAGGGGTCTCGCCCACCGAAGAACTCCCGGAAGACATCGTGAGCGCTGCGGAAGGTGAAGGTGAATTCTGGCGCCCCAGCATTGGCCCTGGAGCCCCCTGCTCCTGTAAGAGGGAAGAGGCTCAGAGTTAAGTGGAGTTGTGGGTGAGAACTCCCCTGAAGGATGGGGAGCCCTGGTGGCACCAACCCACACCAGGTCCTCAGACTTGGATATATCCAGAACTGCACGAACCTCCATGGCCCTGCTCACACACTCACCTGCTCCCATGAGTCCATCCTTGCCATAGCGGTCGTAGACATCACGCTTCTGCTCTGGAAGAAGAAAGGGGGCTGCGGGGAAGCCAGCTGCCAGGCATTGGCAGGAGCACTGACACTTCTCCCAACTAAGGGAAGTGCAAGACAGCAGGGAGCAAGAGGAAGCGCGTTGCACAAGCCCCTGCCACACCAGCATTGTACCCAAACCCAAGAAAGAGCAAGGGCACACAAGCCTCAGCTCTGTGGGGGAGATGCCATCGTGGAGGCCAGCATCCCTCCCAAGAGCTCTTTCAGGGGATGTATGGGGAAGTAACCAAGCCCCACAAGCTGTGTGGTCCCCTTCAGGGACCCACTGCCTCCTGGGAACATCCAGGAATGCAACCTGGGTGAGCTCAGCAGCAGGACACCTATGGGCGAGCAGCCCCAAGGGCAGGGATGCACACACGAGACATCACCGTGGCCTCTTACTGTCCGACAGCACTTCGTAGGCCTCGGCAATCTCCTTGAATCTCTGCTCAGCGTACTCCTTGTTGTCTGGGTTTTTATCTGGGTGCCATTTCAGCGCAGCCTTCCTGTACCTGCACAGAGGGACAGTGATGGGCATGCAGCAGCCCTCAGGCTCCTGGGACAGCAACCCCCATCTGAGCCAACACCCCCCACTCCGTGGGCAGGGGCACCCCAACCCATGTCACCCAGTGCCCTACAGCCTCAGGCACCAAACAGGACCTTCCTGGACTGGTTCTGCCTCCTCAGGAGAATATAAATTTTATATATCTCTCTATATATAATTTATATTTATACATACACACACCAATACACACAGAGTAAAAGAACAAACAAAACAGAAATGACCCCAGAATTGCGGTGTGAGCACAGCTGTGCAGCCTGTGCCCACCTCAGCTGCCCTTGGCGATGGCTCTGGACAATGCTCACAGGTTTGTTCTGGAGCCTTCCCAAGCTCCACCATGAGCATGAATGGACCAGGGGTTGTGGGGGGCCTCCTGGGGCCAGGAAAGCACCAGCAACCTTTTCCTCTCCCCTGCAGGTAACTATGGTTATCCCAGGCTGCCCAGCTTCTTCCACCCACTCTTAGGAAGCCCCACAGCAGGCACTTCTGTCCCCCGATAGCAAGCTTACAATCTGCTGGCATTCCCCTCAGGTGATGCCTCACCCCAGTGAGAATAGGAGGATTTCAGCAGGGTGTCAAGGCAGGAGTTGCAGAGGCTCCCCAGCAATGCCTGGGGCACAATACCGACCTGACCACAGGGCCCATGTCTCTGTAAGGGGACAGGCTGCTCCTCACCCTGTGAGCTCCAGTCCCCTGATCCTGACAGCCAGTAGAGCCACTATGCCCCATCCCTCTGCCACCCCACACCCTCCAGCAGAGAGAGACGGGAGCCTCGCCTCCAGCCCCAGCCCAGGGCTGACAGCAGGGACAAAGGGACCAAAACCCACCAAGAGATGTCTTTTGCAGCCCCACTCTGGTCTCCGTACAAAGGAAACAAAGGCTGAGTTTTCACCTCTAGACCTGGGCCCTGTGCCCACCTGCCCCGCAAGGAGCCCCTGCCTAGCTGGTGCCAAGTGAGGGGTGGCTTGTGGGCCTCTGCCCAGCGGGCCTGGACACCCTGCCATGCACTTACGCCTTCTTGATGTCTTCGGCGGTGGCGTTGCGGCTCACCCCTAGGGCTTCGTAGTAGTCCACCATGACGTGAGCTGTCCCACGGGGTCACTGCAGGGGGGGGAAGGCAAAGTCAGGGGTCCACAAGCACAGCCTGGCAGTGCTGCGTGTGGGACAGCAAGGGTAGACTGTCTGCCCTCTCCAGCACCCCAGCCACCTCACAGCCATCCCAAGAGCAGCTCAGTGCAATCCCATGTCCAGCTGCCCAGCACCCTGCCTGCACCTCGGCCACCTGGGAGCACCCACAGCCCCAGCCGGGGCCCCCCCTGCTGCTGCCGCACCGCCGTCCCACCGGCGTCACCCCA